AGTTTCAGCAGCGGCTGACGCCAGTTCCGACTTACATACAGATTCAACTTTAGAACAAACCTACAGTCCCTATCTTGTACGTAACCCGGGGACTGCCTGTATACAGTTTTGAATTGTGTTACACTTTTTTGTGCTAGCTTGAAGAACCAATTATCAAATATTTGTTTCACAGGAAGGTTTTTAAAGACCATAATCAAGTCGCCTCTTACAGCGGCTGACGCCAGTTCCGACTTACATACAGATTCAACTTTAGAACAAACCTACAGTCCCTATCTTGTACGTAACCCGGGGACTGCCTGTATACAGTTTTGAATTGTGTTACACTTTTTTGTGCTAGCTTGAAGAACCAATTATCAAATATTTGTTTCACAGGAAGGTTTTTAAAGACCATAATCAAGTCGCCTCTTAATCTTTCTTTGTTAAAACTAAATAGATTGCTTCTTGAGGCTATCACTGTAATGCATGTTTTCTAATTCTTTAATCATTCTCACGGGCTCTTCTGTGAACACTGCCAATTTATCAGCCGCCTGGAAGTGTGGCCACCAGAACTGCATGCCATTGCAATTGGGGTTGCACTGTACCAGCTAATCTCTATACCCTACTCAAGGTTTCCCTGTTTATGCGTCCAAGAAGCACATTCATTATTTTAGTTACAGTGGGGCACTGGGAGCTCATGTTTATCTCTTTATCCACCATGCCCCCCAAATCTTTTTCAGCAACTCTGCCTCCCAGGTACAATCCCCATGCCATAAGTATGGCCTATATTCTTTGATCCTAGATGTATGGCTTTACATTTGAGTGTATTGAAAGACATACTGGCTACGTCTACACTGGCCCCTTTTCCGGAAGGGGCATGTAAATTTCACCAGTCGTCGTAGGGAAATCCGCGGGGGATTTAAATATCCCCCGCGGCACTTAAATAAAAATGTCCGCCGCTTTTTTCCGGCTTTTAAAAAAGCCGGAAAAGAGCGTCTACACTGGCCCCGATCCTCCGGAAAAAGTGCCCTTTTCCGGAGGCTCTTATTCCTACTTTGAAGTAGGAATAAGACCCTCTGGAAAAGGGCACTTTTTCCGGAGGATCGGGGCCAGTGTAGACGCTCTTTTCCGGCTTTTTTAAAAGCCGGAAAAAAGCGGCGGACATTTTTATTTAAGTGCCGCGGGGGATATTTAAATCCCCCGCGGATTTCCCTACGACGACTGGTGAAATTTACATGCCCCTTCCGGAAAAGGGGCCAGTGTAGACGTAGCCAACGTGTGACCATACCCAGCTTACTAAGTGCATCCTAGACCAGTGATCTGTCCTCTTCATTATTTACCAATCCCCTAATTTTTGTGTAATTGTAAACTTTATCAGTAATCATTTTGCTTTCTTCCAGGCCATTGATAAATAGTGAAGTACCAAGAACCAATCTGTACAAGACCCTACTAAGTGCAAAGAACTCCTTAAACCAGCAGTTGTGACTTTAAATGTCTTTCTTTCTTTCTTTCTTTCTTTCTTTCTTTCTTTCTTTCCACCCTTTTAATTGCTGTTCTAGTAATGCTACAGACTAGGCAAGAAGAAGCAAGAAGAAGAGTAACACCAAAGTGAAGTACCAGTGTTCAACAGCCAGTTTCTATTGTTAGAGCTGAATATAGTTCTCAAACTGATGACTTGTGACTATCCTCGGTTCAGTCGCAATTCAGTTAGGGTATGTCTACACTACCACTCTAGTTCGAACTAGGGTGGTTAATGTAGACAATCGAAGTTGCAAATGAAGCCCGGGATTTAAATATGCCGTGGAATGAGGTGTAACGGTATTTCGAATTAGAAAGCCTAATTCGAACTACCTACTCCATGCCGCGAGTAGCCGCGGGCATGGAGTCCTAATCGAAATACCGTTACACCTCATTCCACGGCATATTTAAATCCCGGGCTTCATTTGCAACTTCGATTGCCTACATTAACCACCCTAGTTCGAACTAGGGTGGTAGTGTAGACATACCCTCACTTATTTGCTGTAACTAAAACAAAACATGATGGCTGCTAGGGAACACTGTGCTGACTAGATACTCCCTCCACCATAGTTTATCTTTTAGCTGGGCACATTTCTGAGCCCATTTGCCATATTCCAAAACACAACAAAACTGCTTTGTGAGGGATGAAGGACAATACCTAGATTCCTGATGTCAGAAAAAAAGATGTCAGAGAAATTGGCAAACATAACAAAGAAGACGACAGGAAATGCAACCAGCAGAGTGTGAAATAGCTGCAAAACCTGCCACAGAGAAGGGTGCCAATCTGTCTTCCAGTTACTGACAGCCCTTAAAGATCATCCAGTGATAACAGCACTACTCTGGGGTTGTGTCTACATTGGCGTGATCTTGCGCAAAAGCAGCTGCTTTTGCGCAAAAACTTGCTACCTGTCAACACTGGCCGCGAGATCTTGTGCAAGAACACTGATGTTCTAATGTGTGAAATCAGTGCTTCTTGCACAAGAACTATGATGCTCCCACTCCGGAATAAGCCCTCTTGCGCAACTGTTCTTGCGCAAGACGCCAGTGTAGACAGGCAACATGAATTTCTTGCGCAAGAAAGCCTGATGGCTAAAATGGCCATCGGAGCTTTCTTGCGTAAGAGAGCATCTACACTGGCACGGATGCTCTTGCACAAAAGCACGTCTCTTGCGCAAAGGCACATGCCAGTGTAGATGCTCTCTTGCGCAAATACTTTAATGCAAGAACTCTTGCATTAAAAAGTATTTGTGCAAGATCATGCCAACGTAGATGTAGCCTGGGACTACTCCAGCAGTACTCTGGGTTCAAATGCTATTGCATCACAGACT